TTTCAAATATTTTAAACTTATTTTAAACTAAATTTTATATTTACTTTACTAGAAAATTTAAATAATTCTCGTTCTTCCAATCCTCCTTCTCCACAAAGATCTACATCACCACCTTTACTATCTAATACTAAAATACTATCACAACTCGCAAACTTCTCTAAATAATTCTTTTTTTTTTAAATCTAATTATTACTCCAACTATTAACATTCTTTTTTTTAAAACAAACTTTTAACTGTCACTCTCTCCAACTATTGTCATTCCTTTTTCTTTTTCCATTTTCTCCTTTAATTTTACATTCAGATTTTTTTTATAGTTTTTTTTTTCTGATTTTCGTTAAAAAAAAATTTTTTTCCTAAACAAAGCTTGCCATCTCTACACAGTGTTTAGGATCAATAGTTATAAGCTAACTATATCTGGCCAAGAGCAAACATACTTTAACAATTATAAATTTATTTTATTTGTAGTTTTATTTTTTTATTTTATTTATGTATCATTATTGTAATAAATAATAAAACCAATTAACATACAAAAACAAAAATTTTGTTATTAAAATTCTATTTCATTAGTTTCAAAAACTAATGCTTTTTTGAATTCTTTTTAGATAAATAATAATAAAAATTTTATTATTTAGATTCTTTTAAATAAGTTATCAATTATGGTTGAAACTGCAACTAAAAATTCAGTTAAACCGTCGGTTAAACTAATGGTCTAACCATATTGAATCATGTGATAAAACTGATATTTATCATTATTCTTAATCTTAAAACTAAACTGAATCAGTTCAGTTATACAACTAGTTTAAAACTGGTTTATCTTTAACCGTTAATATCTCTAACTGTACATTTCTCTATTGCTGTGATTAGATCATCTGACTTTTATCTTATAGTTTTAATGAGTTCAAAAATTAGCAAATTATCAAATGAATAAAATAAATATATAAGTACTTGTTATCTCTTCAATTTTATCAAATAAATCATACAGCATTTCTTCTTGAGTTCATTACTTTACTTTATTACTAGTAATATTATTATTTCCTTTACTAATGCTATTAGTCCCTTTCAGTTTATTATTATCTTCTTTAATATCTTTAAATTTCACTATTTTGCTAAAATCATCTTTCATTTCTGACTATTCATTGTTAGTAAAAAACTTCTTAACTTCAATATTTTTTCTAGATAAATTAAATATTCTAAAAAATGCGGGACTGGCAAATAAATATTAAAATGTGTGATGTTATAAAAAATCTTACAACTGGATTATTAAAATAAATGCTTATTATAGATAAGCCTTTAATTTTAAAATTGTTAATCTAAAGTTCTCCAAAAATTAAGAGACGTTTTTCTCTGTTAAAAGAATTCATGTAATAAATAGAGAACTTTCCATTTGTACAGCTTTTAGTTAAAAAATTTCTTCAGTTTTGCTTTTTTTGATTAACAAAGAAAGTCAACCTTCCAAAGCATGTTTGATTATAATAACTAGTAAAATCCAATTAGCTAGTAAGAAAAAGATATTTTTTCACCTCATTTTTTGAGAAATTCATAGCATTAACATTTAAGATTTCATCATCATATTCATATACTTCCTTGTCTTTATGATCTTTGAACTTATAAATTGTAAAGAATAACTTAGAATAAATGCATTATTACATTATAAAAGGAAATACAGATTAAGTACAAACTAATTCAAATAGTATATTATTCACATAATATTTTTCATGAAGAATTCTTTTTTTATTAGATGACAAAGATACTTTGTTATTTCATTTTTTGCTTAAATTATTTTGTAAGAATTCTGAAAACTTATTATTTGAGAATATTGTTAAATCTAGTAACTAAATTCTCTCAGAAATCTACTTGTTTAAATTCTGTTAATAGAATTCGTTATAGAGATTCTCACAACTTTGCCTTATAATAAAGCCTTCAAAAGTTTTAAAAATTTCAAAAAGGTCTTTGCAGAATACAGTTATGTAAACTAAAACCTTTTTATATAATTTTTTGTGATAAGATTTAGAGATTTTTACTAATCATCATAAATAGTTAATTATAGCATAATTAATTTATCAGAATTTAAATGAAATCCTAAATAGTATTTCAATTGCCAAAATTATGCCTCTATAACCTTAAAGTAATTATGAGTTTGATTTTCTTCAAGTATCTTATAACTAAGGTATGTCTTTGTTCTAAGAACTGTGATCATGATTAAAAGTTTATAGAATCAGGTTTGGTAATATAGTGGTAACTTAATATGTAAAGGAATACATATTTACTAATAAATACTTTTAGAGTTATAAAATCTTACTGTTATATTATTGGTACAAGTTATGTAAGTAATCACGTATTAAAGCTTTTATTTTCAAAGTTCTCTAATTGAAATAAAGTAAGTATGATTATGCTGAAGTTTTTGTGTCTATTTTAGACAATTAGTGATGGCAGTTGATCTACTGACTTTACTGAAGTTTCTCATATCTGTTTCAGGTAATTGGTAATGAGAACTTCCCTTGGTATACTTATTTAAAAGATGCTATACTTCATGTCTATTTCAGGTAATTGATGGTGAAGTTATGAATCAGTAGATATTTAAGTAATTTCTTGATGATCATCAGCCCTTTATCAGCTAAAGCTTGCATTTTATCAAGAAAATTCTCATATATAATTAGATAATAGTATATGTATATTTTAAGATTACATTAGATATGATTAAAATTAGAAATCTAATCTAAGCGAAAATTTATTATTAAAGAAAAATAGCTAAGTGATTATAAAGGAATAATTGAAATTTATGATGTTATTAAAAAGGAAAGGAGTATGCAGATTTTAGGCCATTTAATGCAAGTCTCAGCATCAAGTTATTTTTTTGCTCTCTATAACTAATTTGTTTTTATCGCTAATATTGCTATCTAAGTTTCTTATACTCTAATCTATCCTAATTATAAATACAAGATTTTTGCCTATTTATATCACCTGTTTCACTCCCATTCACATAGATTATATAAAAGGTTAAGTTTCACAAAAGAACTATTTCTTGATGAACTTATAGTACCTATAGGAAATAAATAAATATCTTAACAATACACTAATAATCCATTTCATTTTATCTTACTATTATATTTTATTTTTTTAATATTCTATTTTGTCAAATATTTGAAATTGTATTGATAGTGTAAATTATGATATGAGATTGTTTGATTATTACGTCAGATGTTTGATATAAAGCATGTGGTAGATATCAAGCAAAGTCACAATTTTACTGTGCTGATGACACATGCCAGCAATCACAATTTTCTTAGCAAAGATCAAAATGCCGATATATATCAAAAAGAGTAATATGTCTGTTTTATTTTAGAACATCTATAAAGGTGGAAAGATCAATTAATATCATGATAACATGTTTCAAGAGGTCAAACAATAAAACCAATATACCTTATTATCACTTTGCAGACAATCTGTTTATTTGGTTATGAATATTAATGATGTAAATATTGGTAAGTTTGTAGATTTTATTAGTTCACTTGATTTTTGCTTATATTTGTGCAAGACAGATAAAAGGGATCACTAACTGTCTTGCCTTCTTTTTATATGATTTGTAGTCATCCAAGAATCAAATTGAAATAAATCTTCGGGGAATTATGATGGCATCATGGAAAATCAGATCAACGGATTTGCTCAAAGACATAATAAAAGCCTTGATCACTAACCATATGGGATCATGCCCCTTGGATTAACAAAGGGGTCTTTTTTTATTATTATTATTATATGAGTATCTGCAAGAAAGTTCGAGAATATTACGCGTCTACAAGATGTTATGGTTAGTTTTTTTCTTATGTCACACAGCAATCATCTCAGCAATAATTTCCCAAATATTATACTGCGCATTTATTGGGATACAAATACAAATCCCTCAATTCCCACAACCATACTATGCGGAATATTATCATGTAAATATATTGTGCTTAATGCACTTTTGCTTTATTGATTAAATAAAAAGTACATATCGGATCTTAGATCGGGATACAGCTTCGCTTGATACAATGTTACATTATAATGTCTTATTGCGTCTATTCTATCCACCTCCCGATACTCACTATTTTCATTGTACCATCACCCTAACTTAATAGTCCGTTTCATTTGTTTGCATTCGTGAATAGTAACGAGATCTAGTTCCAATGACAAAAAAAAGTGCTAAATCTCATGTCGCACAGTTCTACCCTTGATCGCATTTCAGATGATCGGTCTCACATGACGGAGTTTCTTGCTACGATCGCGAATTTGAATTTATTGCTTGAAGTGAAGCAAGTAATACCATTCGCCATGTAATCCATAATTCCCATGTTTTCCATCACAAATAGGACATGGTGAGTTCCACGGCTGAGCAGACACAAAATTAATCCAGATCTAATTATCAAAACCGTGTTAGAGCATTTCACATACCTGAAATTCCGAAATAGTTTTAGGGGAATTGATAATTATAATTTTGCATCACTTCAGCCGTGAAGCTCACCATGCCCTATTTGTGATGGAAACATGGGAATTATGGATTACATGTCGAATGGTATAGAAATGGGACGGAATATTGTCTTACCTGCAACAGTTTAAGCAATAAATTAAAGTTCGCGATTGTGGCATAGTCTGGTCATGTGAGATCAATGCGCAGAAGATATTCGGTAAAATTTCTTGCCGAAGGAATAGGGACTGTGCGACGTGAGAATCGCGTATATATATTCATTTTTTTTCTTTCTACCAAGTAATTCTCGATTTTTTTTTTTATTCTCGCTTCGTCGTCGCCGGGTCAGGTTAGGAAAGTGAAATATTTATTAAATGTATATTGTGATATTATGAACTTCCAGCAATATCCTACGCACGATTGTGCACCACCGTGAGTTCGTTATGCTCGCGACCCCTTTCGGTCGATGTTTGGCAGCAATAGTCAGGATACCTGCCTTGATGACACGTATTTTTCCTGTGTCTACATTCCATGGCGATTGTTGACCAGATATTGCGATTTAGCAACCTACGCACCGATTGTGCACCACCGTGAGTTCGTTATGCTCGCGACCCCTTTCGGCCGATGTTTGGCAGCAATAGTCAGGATACCTGCCTTGATGACACGTATTTTGTTCTTGTGTCTACATT